AGAAGTGGAGAGTGCTGGGGAGAAGGTAGAGGAAGGGGGGGAAGGGAGGACAGAGGTCACATCTTCCTCCCTGGTCGGGGTTGTCGGTCAGGAAGGGAAGGAGGAAGGGCAGGAGGAGAGGAAGGAAGAGGAAGGAAAACAAGGCGAGGGCGAGGAGACTCCCGTCCTGCTCGGTTCCCCTCCTTCCTCCACCTCCTCCTCGATCTCGGCTTCCATAAGCGAAGAAGGGAGGGAATGTGGCGAGGAAGGGGAGGAGAACAGCGTCTCTTCTTCCTCCTCCTCCACCTCCTCACTCAGCGGGCGGGAGGTAGCGGGAAGGGAGGCGAGGAGGATGGAGAACTCGAAGCGGAGGAGGATCATGTTGAGGGAAGAGGGGTCTGAGGAAGGGAGGGCGCGAGGGAGGGCGGATAGCCGTGAGCTGAAGATTTCCTCTGTACGGGCCTCGCAACCTCAATGAGGATGGGAAGATTCTATGCGCTTTCTTGCGTTTTCCTACCTCCCTTCATTCTACCTCCCGTCGCTCAAAGCGGCGAAACAGGGGTGTATGGAAGTTTTTTGGGGGGGGGGGTCGGTGATCAGGGCAAAGCGGTGGTATGGCGGGGCCGGAGGGAAGGGAAGAAGGAATGGAATGTGGCATATGTTGTGATAAGGAAGACAAAGGCGGCGTGGGGGTTCACGCCGGAGAAAGAAAATCCATGTATTGTAAAGCGGTGGAGAGGTCCCTTGGAGAGGTGCCATGCCAGGAACGACGCCTGCCTGTGTGACGCATTGTGGAGGCGAGAGATCGAATTGTCGTCTCCGACAGTGATCACGGTCCCTCCACAGAGCAGGGAAAAGTTAGGGAAGGCACCTTTGGGAATGCAAAGAGGAGAGCGGAGCGCCACAGAGGGTCTGCCGGAGGACGGCCGCCTGATATCGATGTAGGAGGTAAAGACGCGGTAAATGGGTGCAGGGGGACGGGGAGGGAGGTATTTTGAGCGAAGCCAGGAGGGCGAATCAAGGCCTGAGGACTATATAAAATGAGAGAGACAGTGTGGTAGCTGGCGCTTGAAATTTTGCACCCGTGGCGGTATGCTGCCGGAATGGGTACCTAAACCATCATACTCAAATTGCAGGAAGATGACGGAGACAAGGGTCTCGGCTAATGATTTGAACAAAGAAGGAAGTCACGTCAAGCTTGAAAAGCGACAGAATGGATAAGAAGAAGCAGCCATTACTTCCTTCAACAAAGATCTCGCACAGGGAAGTAACGTGGGAGAGCCTTCAAGTGACGTTTCGGCTCCACGACCTCGCCTTCATTTCTCACCCCTCTGCACACATGGATGGCGCCATGCTATCTGTACAAAACTCCTTCCTCTCTCCTTTCCTAGTCCCCTTCCTGCTCGCCCCTGCCGTCCTTCCCCTCTTCCTCCTCCCCCTCGCTCCAGGGCGTCACTAAAAGGCGAGGTTCTCGCTTGACCAGAGACCACAGATACAAATAGATCTGATCGCGGACTTCTTTGCTCCTGAAGAGGGCGCGAGAGTAGAAATGAGAACCTAAGACACATCGAGAAGGGAGCCGGTGTTCGCATCCTGCAGAAACTCCTTCCCGACCAAGCCGCAGGGGTCGGAGCGACAGGATGGTGGGGGCGGGGAAGGAGGGGGAGGGGAGGCACTTACCCGTAGATGGGATCGAAGTCCCCGGTCTCCTCGATCATCACCTCCCGCTTCTTCTGGAAGCGGCTCTTGGCTCTCCCAGCCTTGTTGAGGATAAGTGCGTCCTGGTGGGGGCAGGGAGGGAGGGAAGGAGGAAGGGGAGGATACACGGAGAAGGGAGAGGTTGGGATGGAGGGCTACCGGGAGGAGGGAATGACACATCGCTTTGACTCCTCCCTCCCTCCCTCCCTCAGCTCACTTGTTGCGCCTTCTTGAGGTGCTCGGCATCGTCCTTCATCAACGACTCCATGTCCCGGAGCGCCTAGGATTGGGAAGGGAAGGAGAGAGGAGGGAGGCCGAGGTCAAAGCTCGCCAGGGCACTTCTTGCTCGGTCGGGGCGGAGGGAGGGGAAAAGGGGAAGGACACGAACCTCACGAAGCTCCTCCATCTCATTCGGGTAGAAAACACGCTTGCTCTCCGCGCGCCTAAGGAGACAGGGGGAATCGAGAATGTGAGAGCCCTAGCATAAAGTGCGTTGATGAGGAGAGGTGTGGCCCATGCACGTGCTGAGGGGTATCGTGCACATCAGGAGGCCGAGGGGAGAGAGGGTGGCGATCTGGGGGCATGGGTGGCGGAACAGGGGCACCTACTGGGAAAGCATTCTTATGACGGTGTTCATTTTATCTTCATCCCTCTTTGAGAGCGGCCGCCTCTTGGTCAGGTCTACTTGGGGAGAAGGAGGCTCTGCCACCAGGCCGCCTGTGGGTTCGGGGAGGACGCGCGTGAGGACGACGGCGGCGAGGTAGGGGAGGGCAGAGGAAGTTGGCATAAGGAAGGGAAAAGCAGGCTGTTTGTAGCTTACCTAGGCCCGCGATACGCCGGCGTTCCACGCGCGCATCCATCCTAATCGCCCAGGCAAGCATTTCTGTGCGCAGGGGGCATGAAAAGAAGAGAGAGAAAAGGCACATAACCAACCGGAATTTTCAGCAGCAACACGTGAGGAGGAGAAAGGATGGCGCACGTACCCTCAAAGTCGGGCACACGCACCACCTCGATCCTTTCTTCCGTGTCGTCGGGCAAGCGCTCTAGACGAGCCGCGGCCGAAGGCGAGAGGGCGGGGGAGGAGCGGTCGGGAGGGTTCGAGGGAGAGAGGGGGCTGTCAGCATTGGCTTGTGCTTTTCCTTTCTCTTCATCCGACTGGGATCCTATCTCTGGTCCTAATGGCTGTTTTCGCCGCTTTTGTTGATTTACATGTTCGGTGGGAGCCTGCTGACCGCCCGAGGAGGAGGAGGAGCGACCGGCAGACAGCGGATAAGAAATTTGAAGCAAGGCGGGGAGAGGTGGATGAAGGAAGCCCTGGACGGACGGAAGAAAAAATATGCCCAGGACGATGATGCTGAGCTTCGGTCTTCTCGGACCTGGTGTTGACCACATTGAAGGCATGCTGCTTGTGCAACTAGCGTAACTCCAACGTCTCCTTGCCACACTGTGTGAAAAGCCAGGAAACAAAGGAAAGGAGTCGTCAGCCTTTCTCTACACAGCACGATGCAATTCTTACCCTGTCGATCCACGCGGACAAAAGTGGAGGAGGCGTGCCTTTGCGGCAGGGTAGCTTTCGGGCTTGTGGCAGGGGGCGGTAAAGGAAGGGTCGTAAAGCATCATATCCTCGCCGTCATCCAGGGAGGCGGCCTCTGAGGGCAACAATTGCCACGGCTGCTCTCACCGACTCACCCGCGGTTGTGCCTTCACTTTATCATAGTCCAGGTGTGACACGTTGATGCGTGAGGTTGTAGCCCCACGACATGCGTCACCTGTTGTATCTCTCTTGTGCTTTGCCTCATGAACCTTCCTCCCCTCGACTCCTCCTCCTCCTTCTCCTCCTCCTCCTCCTCCTTTTTCCCACCTTCCCTCATTCCTTGTCCTCTTCTCCTCACTCATCTCCGCGAAATATTCCTTCTCCTGAAGCATAGCGTTCCCTCCCCACCTTCCTCCCGCCAACCAGCCAAGCGTGCGCTCTGGTTTCCACTTTTTACCCTCAACTCACCCTCGGGAGAACGTCGAGGCCTCTGACCACCTTCCTCTCGCTTGCACGCTGTAGCCCACCTACATCTGTCCACCTCCTCCACCAAATTCTCTTCATTCCTTCAAATATCCCAAGCACATTGCCGCACGGCCTAGGCTACGCGTATCTGCAGCACCTGTTTTCTGCCGCTATCCCCTCCTTATCTCCTCTTCATGTCTTTGATCGGATTTAAGCTCTTCATCGGTAACTTGTCCAAGGAAACGCACGACACTGGGCTCGAGAAATATTTCAAGGACGCGATAGGCGGAGAAATAGTCTGGGCACAGGTAGGGATAGGGGCAGGTCGGCTTCGGGAAAGACGCAGGGAAGGAACATGTGTGGGAGGAGAGGACATGGAGGGATTGGATCGACGTAATTCGCCCACTTCCCGCTCGTTCCTTTTTTCTCCTCGTCAACCGTCCAACTCCTACCTTCTCAGGTTTGCAAGGACCGAAACACAGGCGAAAGTAAACGGTATGGCTTCATCACCTTTAAAGACGAGGCTGACGGGAAGCGGGTGAGTGCCTCCTGTTCCTCTCTGCCTTTCTTGATTCTCCGTCGCACCTGTCTATTCTAAGGTCCGGGCCTCATTGTCCAAGCTTGCGCAGGAAGTCAAGGTGTCATTCGAGGAGCACCCGTTCCGATATCCTTCTCACCCGGTCTCCCTCTCTCCCTTTCTCCCTCGCCTCCTCCCTGTGGGGCTCTCCAGGCTATTGAGGAGCTGCACGAGACCGAACTCGACGGGTCCAAGATAACGGTGGATCGTAGCACGCAAGGCATGATTGAAAAAGGTGGGAACAGACATCGGGAGGAAGGGAAGATAGGGCGGGAGAGTCATGGTTGGATTCGGAGAAGGGGGGGAGGGGGCAGTTGAAGACTCTCCCCGGGCCGAGGTCGTGGACCGATAATTTCCTTCGTTCACCATTCTTTTTGTTGCACCTTGGCAGATGGCGGGGGTCGAGGGGCGGAGGACGAGAACGTCCGGCTCTTTGTGGGCGGTCTCCCCGACAACTGTGTCGAGGAGGATCTGATGGAGTGAGTGGGAGGGGAGGTGGGGTTGAAATCCTGCCTGTTGCCCCATGCGTACGAAGCTCGCTCTTGTGGCTGCCTGACTTTTCCCTTAACTTTTCTCCCTCCCTCCCTCCCTCTCTCCTTCCCTCCTTCCCTATTTTCCCTCCCCTCTTCCCTCCCTCCCCACAGTCTTTTCAAGGACTGCGAGCCCGTGGAGGCCTTCATGTGTGGCTCCAAGCATCCCCCTTGTGGCTTTGTCACCATCAAGAGGAGCAACGACAACCTGGAGAAGGCCCAGTCTTACGATGGTGGGTCCTCTCTCCCTCCCTTCCTCCCTTCCTCCCTCCCTGTTGGCTCGCACCCTGTGGAAGGGAGCGCAGAAGTGGAGAGTG